AAGAGCGACCTTTGTCATCTGGGAGGGCTTCAGGTAAAGATGGATGATGTGGTCCTGACTGATTGCCTTTTCAGCCAACCCCCCAAAGTTCCACTCTCTGAATTCAGTCAGGCCACACTCTGATTGACTGAGTGTGTTATAGCTTTCTTTACAATGGTTGAGTCTAGATCTTTCCTTTTGTGAAATATCTAGTACTGGTTCCCTTGCAATGAGTCAGCTATCCTTGTATCTGGATCTTTCTTACCATCTCTGAGAACATGATACTTCTTCAGAGGACTCAGGTTATCTGCTATAATGTGAGGCCTTCAAGGAGTTCTATTGCCAAGAGAATAATTTTCCGCCCCAGGGCCCTATTTCTGGGACAGAGGGATATTTGAAGAACATTTCCGTGTGATGAGAGACCCTGTGGTGGAGAAGGTCAAAGGCTTCATAACTGATTTTGAGGAATTTGGGCTTTTGTGGTGAGCAAGCATCTGGAAAGGAGAAGTGTAAGATAACATTGAAGCTGGAGCTTAGGTAACTGGGAAAATGATGGTAAAATGTCAGAAACTGAGGAGTGAGGAAGAGAAAGAAAAGGTCTCAAGATATTTTGGGGAGGTGGGTTGGGAAGGCTCTGCATAAGAGTACAAATGGAGAAGATGAATTCTATTTCAGAAAGGGTAGATTTGTCATGTGGCTGTAATAAGTCAACTAATTTCACCTGAAGTATTTTTCTGCCTTTTTATTACTGTTAGAGTAAGCAACCTTAGTTTATACAGTTAAAAATGTTTGGCTTAGGGGCACCTGGGTGGCATAGTCGGTTAAGCGTCTGACTTTCACTTAGGTCATGATCTCACGGTTCGTGGGTTCGAGCCCCGCGTCGGGCTCTGTGCTGACTGCCAGCTCGGAGCCTGGAGCCTGTTTCAGAGTCTGTGACTCCCTCTCTCTCTGACCCTCCCCTGCTCACGCTGTCTCTCTCTCTCTCTCCTAGAAATAAATAAAACATTAAAAAAAATTTAAAAAGAATGTTTGGCTTAGTAAATTCATAAGTATATATTCATATCCATATGAATTTAGACCAAAGAATTAGGGTTTTATACATTCATGCACAAATATATAAATATTTCCCAAAACTCCTTTAAAAGATCAAGCAGGATTTACAAATATGAGAGGAGAAAATTGAGAAGCAGCCAAAAAGGAAAAACTTCAGTTAACTACAGTACTTAAATAAAAAAATGCATTGAAAATGTAAACACATAATAAATGCATTTGAAAATTATTTCCGGAATATCAAAACAAAACAAAACATTCAATTTAGCAATATGCCTGCACATTAGTATAGGTATATTTGGTAAATGGGACTTTTAATGTGTTGACAATGATTTACTCTGTAAGAAGTCAGTAAGTCAGTAGGGCTCATGGTGGTAGAAAGCAACTTTGATAGGTTTAACAGAAGTCATGAACTAGTTGGATATAAAATCAAGTCAAGAAGTGAAAACAGAATGGAAAGTCGTTGTCTAGTTGTCTGAGTTTGTACTAATCCCCCCTACCCCCGCCGCAACACACCACGACCAACACAACCACACAACCGGCAACAGACACAGAGCAAACCTGACCAACCATTTCTAGCTCAGTAGTTAAATCATAAGGTTCTGTGAACTCCTGGGTGTTCGGACATGTGAGGAGTGACATGTGTGGGCAGAGGGGGGTGTGAGGGGCAAATGTGAGAATAGGGAGATAAAGGAGAAGAGGATTGCAAGTTGGGGAGAGGGAATGTTAAAGGAGCCAAGAATTTTCCAGGTTCATCAGGAGGGACCTTCAGCAGTGTTGAAAAGGGGAGAGACTCACAGAGTATGAAGTGTGAGAACTCATGGTCGCCATGGCCATTAGGTGGCTATGGGGACAGCAGTTCAGAGGTCAGTGAGGGCAAAGGAAGTCAGGGTGTAGGTGAGCGGAAGGTGAGGAGGAGGGCTCCTAAGAAAAGTTGATGGTGGTGGGGAAAGGGAGAGAGAGGGAGATGTGGGGGGGGGAGGAGAAAAAAGAGATGGGGGAGAGAGAGAGGAGAGGGAGAAATCCCTCATGTGGGGTCTTGTCATAGAGTTTTCCTTAACAGTTTTGGGAAGGCTAATGTTAATGTTTGGTGACACAAAATGATGTGTGTGCCAGAGACTGACCAGTTTTTGGTTTCTGAGCACCTTGAGTCCAGTGATAATGAGGCAAGAGTGGAGGAGAAACGGGCAACATGTCCCAAAGGGTGTTCTGCAAACAACTTCGCAGGACGTTACTAGATCCTTCCCCCATCTCTCACAAAATGATTAAAAAATTTTTTTGATGTTTTTATTTATTTTTGAGAGAGAGATAGAGACAGCATGAGCAGGGGAGGGTCAGAGAGAGGGAGACACAGAATCCAAAGACAGGCTCCAGGCTCTGAGCTGGCAGTCAGCACAGAGCCTGATGGGGGGCTCGAACCCACGAACTATGAGATCATGACCTGAGCTGAAGCTGGACGTTCAACTGACTGAGCCACACAGGCGCCCCTCTCACAAAATGATTTTATTCCTCTCTGTCCCAAAGGAGGGGACCGTCAGCCTCCCCTTCCTGAGGAACCAGCAGGCCTGTGGCTAGTCGCTTCATGTTTCACCCCATTTCTCATTCACGGAGGTGCTTATTTTGTTTTTATGCTGGGCTATGCCTGCTTTATTTTCTCAACTTAAACTTCATTTCTCATTGCTGTGCATGCATGTGCTATAGGGGATGAGTCAGCGATTGAACCAACTGTGCCATTTGGACCAGAAATCCTAGGCAGGATTTGTTACTGCAAGACATGCCTTAGAGCATCACGTGCTATTGAATCTCCAAGCAGAGTAGCCTATGCACCGTTTCCCAAATTTATGGGACCACAGACCCGTTTCTTCACGGTCTCGTAGTCCGTGAATCACACTTTGGAGAGCTTATAAATGAGATGGTGGAAATGACCAGTGATGGGAAGATCCCATAGAAAAGTTGTAGAACGTGGTTGAACTGGGAGTGGAGGCGACGCAGCTGCTCCCAGGGAACTTCTTGTGGCCGGGCGTGCAAGGAATGGTGGAAACAGGTGTGCCAGGAGGCTGTGCAGCGCGTCTGTCCACCTCCTCAACCAGGAATGTAACGGGAAAGCACTTTATCTTCTTTAAGGCCTTGGAACCCACATTGCCCAGGGAAAGACACCAGCCTTCGTAGGACCTGGGTGTGAAGCTGGGCGAAGCCAGTTCTAACAACATGAAGGGCCTGCCATCTGTCCACCTGCTAAGGGGACTCTGGGTTCCACTTGCTCAAGCCCTGAGTGAGGATGCCATGTTCTCCAAATGTTTTCAGAGGAGAGAGTGCCTCTGTGACTGCAGTGTATGCTGCTCTTCCATGGCCATGATCTAGAGAAGAGAATGTTGCTGCCTTCCTTGGATAGTGGCCAAGGAGGAGATATTTGTGTGGCTATTCATCAGCCTACCCACGTAGCAAATACTTGTTGGGTTTCTGTTGTGTGTTTGATCACTCGATAACCGGGCAGGAGATCAGTGGACACAAAGATGAATTGAAAAAAACAGTCCCAGATCTCACGGAGTTTGGAGTCCAGCAGAGGAGACAGACACACAGGAAAGAGGCAGTGTGGGGGGACCCACCGTACAAGACGTTCAGGGAGATGTGGGGTGCGTGGAGGGGCACCCAACCAGAGGCCCATCGGGATGGACTCGGGATTCAGTGCTGTTCAGCCTGCGGGCCGGCAGATGGGTTAACGAGGTAAGGGGCAGCATTTATGAATTCCAGACACAGAAAGTCAGAGTTTGGAAGGTCTTCCAACTAATCTGTTGGGAGGGCGTGAAAAACATCCAACAGGGCTGGGGTGTGCAGTTCTGGGCGAGGAATTCTGGGGTGGGGAGAGGGGAGTGAGAGACAAAGCATGAATCAGGCACGCGGATGCTGTTGGGCCCGAGGTCTTCACGCCTGCCTGCGTGGCTACGTCCTGAAGCCTGGGCCTTGCTCCCAGCCGCCGAGACTTCTCTGGTTCTCTTCCTACACTGATCCCCTGTCCTAGGTTCTTTTCTCTGGCTCTGCTTCGCTTCCCCACCCTTCAACTCTCTCCTTCGGAGAACTGATGCGTCATGTCGGGTGGGGGGTTTAGGTCATGCCAGGAGTGACCAGAACCTGGAAATATGACCTGCCCTGGCTGGTGGCCGCGGGAAGGACAGCTGGCCCACGTGTGCACACTGCACTGGGAAATAACGGCTATGGGAGTCCGCTGGAGTCCACCGAGGCCAGGGGCTCCCCCGCAGTGGTAAGAGGGCAAAGGTCCTAAAGACGACAGGTAAAAACCTGAGCAGGCCACAGGAGGAAATCCAGCCAGGTAGCCATCAGCTGTGGGCAGGAGGGCTGCCCGCAGGACCCTGGCTCACTGAGGGACCTTCTCACCAGATCTGGGACCCAGGAGTGGGCGTCACACGTGCGACTCTCAGTAGGTGAAGGGCATAGCAGCAAGTGTGACTTGATGTCGAGTCACCTGAACTCTGGGACGTAGGCCGCTCTCCATAGCTCCTGGCTCCACACAACCAGGGAGCCAGACCCAGGCTAGGCCTTTAGGTGGAGGTCAGCGGCCCCCGCTCTGGGGAGAGGAGGAGTCTTGGCCAGGGAGGCAGGCAGGGCGTCACTGCCTTCGCTCTCAGTTCTCGCGTGTTGGTGGATGCCACTCACCTTGACCTCTTCCCCGTCCTCTCTATGCCTGGCTGACCCTCCCTCTTCCTTCATTCTCAGCCTAAATGTCACTTCCTCATGGAATCGCTTCCCAGCCCTCTCACCGGGGCAGGAACCTTGTTCAGGGCGTTTCCTCTCCCCCCACCCCCACCCCCACCCCCAGTACGTCTGTAGAGGGATTTGAGGGTTTACTTACTCCCCGACCCCTGTCTCAGGCAGGGGGCTCGGTGCAGGCAGGGCTCTGCTTTGCACACCCTCACGTGAGCCCTGCATAGCGCAGCGCGGCCCCCGGCGGGCACACCAGCAGCGTGCGTGGAAAGGAGTCAGCGAATGTTCCTACGGGCCCGCAGGACTTCTGTTAGGTTCCCGGGACGGCCCTTTCCACGGGCAAATACGCAGTTGTGTAACTGCCCACTTTTCTCATTCCATGTGTGCGTGTTAGATCTAGACTCTTGATCTCCATCAAAGAAAGAAGATTGAGCGCGTGAAGCAAACGACAGTGGTCCTTCAGCTGGGGTTTCGCACTCTGCGGTCTCGGGTACCTGCAGCCAAGCGCAGTCGGGAAGCAGGGGATCGATCCTGCGGCCGACAAATTGGCAGACGGTCAGTAGCAGCCTAACGCCGCGCCATAGCGCCCACGCCGGCCACCTCGCTTCGTCTCCTGGCGTAGACGTTGTATCACCTCGCATCATTGCACGAAGGGTGAGTACCGTACAATAAGATGTTCTGAAAGACAGACCACATTCACACAACTTTTATTGAAATATATTGTTATAAGTGTTCCGTTTTATGATTGGCTGTTTTTGTTCATCTCTCTCCCTGAGCGTAATTTACAAATTAAACCTTTTTCATAGGTAGGTATGTGCAGAAGGGACATACGACACGCAGGGCTCGGCCCTATCTGCAGTTTTAGGCATCCCCTGGGGGTCTTGGCATGTATCCCTCAGATAAGAAGGGACTCCTGTGTATGTGGACCTGAGCTCCCCATTCCACCCGGGCAAGGTCATACTGCAAACATTAAATGAGCTGGGAAAACCTTCAGCTGATGGAGCCGAGAAGAAAGGGGGCATCAGCTCCGCTTGGTGCAAAGCCCCCTTTTGGCACATGCATGCTGCGTGTTCCTTGAGATTCTGACAGCCACGCAGTGCTCAGGTGGAGGTGACGCTAATGACCCAGGTGCCCTGTGCGATTACATTTGTGAAAAGCGAGCTCCTTACGAGGCAGCAAAGCGCGTCACAACGAATTCTGCATTCAGGCCGGCTCGCACGGAGCAGTTGATATTGCTGTGAAAGCTCTTTGTTTCTCTCTGGCATGTGGATGCACAGGCTTTGATGTTAGAATTTTGGCTCATTAATAACTAATTTACATTTCCCAGACAGCAAATTGTGATCTGACACAAATTTATAAAAGAACTCCAAATGGCGAAACTCTCTTATACAATGAGTCCTTTGTGGGTTTTTTTTTTCTTCCCTTCCTAACTTAAGGAGTTTGTGATTAAAATTTTAATGCAATCATTGAAATCTCATGGGCTACTTAAAAATAAAACACCATGTTATTTCCTTCCTCTCAGAGATCATGACAACTGGCTGCTCCTCTGTGGGTGTTTTACAATTGCTTTTTCATCTGCTCCGTGCCGCAGATAAAGTACGATGTCCTCGGTGAACCGGGGGAAAGGCATGGCCAAGGGGCTGGAGGTGGGCACACAGGCAGTGGTGCTGTGCTCTTGGCTTCCTGATGCTTCCGTGCAGGTTACCGGGACGGCGTATTTTGTATCGCATTGTCTCCCTGTCTCTAGGAGGTCGCAGGGCTGAATCTCTCCAGGTGCCTTGTAACCCGAATAGGTCATTTTGGAAACAAAGATGGGGTGATCAGAGCTGTCGAGATAAGGGCATTTTACATGTTTGTTTCCTCCTCCCTACATCTTGGTGGACCAGCTGCCTCATGGAAAACATGGGAGATTTTTTGATGTTTTAGTCCCCCCGTCTTTTTTTTGAAAGACTATGGAGGTCGAGGGAAGTTGCAAACAAGCTATTGAGAGGCAAATCTAGGCGCATCTTGACTCCGTTCTTCACCGCCCCACACCCCAATCCATCTTTGCCACAACCTTGTCATCCTGTGTGTTGATGACTCACAGCTTCCTTGGGGAGGCGGGGTGGGGCTTCTGTCCTCAGCAGGAAGGAGAAAACGCCAGGTGCATCCAGTCACCTGGAAACACCTTCCCCAGACCACAAGGGGAGGTTTGGGCCCGTGGGAGGTGGGAAGGTAGACCTGAGACCTGGGCAGGGCGGACGGGCAGGGCCAGGGGAGCAAGCCGGTGGGTAGCTTCACCGATTGCATCGCTTCTGGCAGGAGCCTCTGTCTACTGCGTTGCTCTCTGCCTGGAAGGGGTGTAGGGAACAGCCATGGGCTTGTTGTGGGGAATGGAAACATCCCCAGGATGAAAAGATTCTGCAACTGGCACCACTTGAGGTCAGATGTAAAGTGGTCACACAGCATGAGCCAAATTGACTCCATGCAGAAAAGCAACAAGCCACCCCAGTTCCCTATATTATTTTAATAAGAGAAAGAATGTATTAGGAATTCCAGGCGAGACCTCCACCTGGGCACAATCCCAGATTCTAACTCATCTCTTCATGCCTTTTCAAATGAGCCTTTTACAAAGAGGCTGTTTTTCTCTCCAACCTCTTCCAGACCAACGAAATGATCTGAGATCCCCTTCCCAGCCTCGGTGGTAGGAACCAAGAAACCGGAAAACCCGGCTCTGAGCAGGGAGGCTCTGTGCACAGTTGCTGAGAAAACTGCAGGGGCGATTGGGGTGGACTTTCTTGTTAAATTAATTAACCAGGGAGGCCACCACACTGAGGTGGCTGTAATGACGCGGACACCTTTGTAAGCAAACCCAAACCTAAGCCTGTAAGCGCCTCAAGGTTACAACATCAGCCCATTAAGGACAACAACTCCCAAACAGCCAACTAGGCTCTGGGCTATAGCTGGTCAATGATTTCCTTACTTTGCTTCCACCTTTTCTCTAGAAAAGTCTCAGCCCGAGTGCGGGCTGGTGGAATGCCACTAACCGCTCCCAATTTGGCGCGCTCTGATATGAATAGAATTTTGCTCAAATAAACTCTTGTAATTTTTTAATGTGCCTCAGTTTAGCTTTATATTTTTAAATGTTTATTTTATTTTTGAAAGAAAGACAGAGTGTAGGTGGGGGGAGGGGCAGAGAGAGTAGAAGACACAGAATCCAAAGCAGATCCCAGGCTCTGAGCTGTCAGCACAGAGCCCGACGTGGGGCTCGAATCCACAATCATGACCTGAGCCGAAGTCGGACACTTAACCGACTGAGCCACCAAGGCGCCTCAACCTCAGTTTATCTTTTAATGGGTTCAAAACAAGGGAGCCTCTCCTCAGAGGTGGCATGAGGCACAGCACCCTGTCCCCTGGTTGGACATCAGGGAACCGAGAGGAACTGAATTGGGGGCTTGTTTCTGTCAGAGTCAGAGCGACAGCTTAAAGTGGATGTCACCACATTACAAGTCCATCGGCTCCACTGAAAGGGCAGGAGTCCCCTAGGGCCTGCGGACTGCTTGTTGAGTCTTGACGGAGTGAGGGAAGCCTGCGTGTCCTGACGATAATTAGGGTCTTTCTCAGCACCTAGAACATTGCTGACATTTAAAACAGAATGCTGCTGTCACGCTTGTTAATTTTACCTTCTCGGGTTCCGAACGGCTCCTATAACACTTGACTGTTTTTCCACATCACAGAGACCAGACTGGATTTTCTCGGAAGGCAGTCAATTCTTTTTTTTTTTTTTTTTTTTTTTTTACAAATAGTTTATTGTCAAGTTGGTTTCCATATAACACCCAGTGCTCATCCCCACAAGTGCCCTCCTCCGTGCCCATCCCCCCTCTCTCCCCACATCCATCAGTCCTCAGTTTTTGTCAGCATTCAAGAGTCTCTCATGGTTTGTCTCTCTCCCTTTCCCCCACCATTTCCCCCCTTCTTCTCCCCCTTGTTCCTCAGTTAAGTTCCTCCTAATCCTCCCATACGTGCAAACATATGATATTTGTCCTTCTCTGCCTGACTTATTTCGCTCAGCATAACACCCTCAAGGTCCATCCATGTTGCTACACATGGCCAGGTTTCATTCTTTCTCATTGCCATGTAGTATTCCATGGTAT